TTTCATAATAAAAGGACTATCTGATGTAACAGAAACTAAGAGCAGACTTCAGAAGCAAAAACTGGAGCCACAGAAATGACCTGAAATACTTGCAATGATCAAGCCAATTGCTTGCAGGCAGTGCAAATAAAACATATGCCAAGAGGCCTTACAACAAAAAGGCAACAATGTACTTCTGCATTTATGTCACTTGGGCAATCTCCCTCAGTGCATAATGCTAATCCTTGTGTTAAAATTCTTTTGCTTATTTCTATTTACAATTTTTCACATACAGTTAAAGAGAAGGTCTTAAAAATTAGCATAATACAAAATAGTTTATTTATATCTGCTTTCCTAAACTTCTTGGATAACTTCAATATTGCCTTTAATATAGCATGCAGTTAAAAGGAACTTACTGGTTCTGAAGAACACTTGCACTTCAGAAAGAAAGACAACCTTTTTTCTTTATGGAGTTTGAGTTTCTGATTTTGGGTCTGCATGATCATACCGTTCTCCTCAGAGACTTTTTTTTTTATTGTGGCCATTGTGTTGCATGAGGTACTTCTTTTGATACTCCCTTAACACACTGATGCCTCCCTCCTCATCTCCTGGGCTCCACTCTTTGTTTTTCATGCTCTGAGATGTTAAGACTGTTAGAGCTAATAATCTTGTAAACTACTTCCACCACTGTAATACTAATCCCCCATGTTTGGGTTTTTTGGGCTTTTTGGTGGTTTGTTTTTTTTTCCACTAATGCTGTGAAACCGTGGTGTAGGATTGGTTCATTTTTACATTTCTGTATAAATTACAGCATACATTAATGTTCTATACTATGGAACTAAGGCTAATACCATCACCTGAATCCCCTAGTACTCTTATAAAAGATATGTAACATTTGCGGTATCTTTAAAACCATTCACTCGAGTTTTTGAACCCCCTAACTCAGCCATTACTTCTTCAGACTGCAAACCTTTGCTGCAGCGCAAGTCTGAAACCAAAAGCCAATGTGATCCCTTAAACTCTGTAGTATAAATCAATTACACCTGGGCTAAGATATTCTTGTGAGTACATTTATGTATGTTTTTCCAGTCTTTGACTGAAATGTTCAGACCTCTTTGAGGTCAAATGAGGGCAAGCAAAGTAGTAAAATTATTTGTTTGAATCCTTGTTTTAGAACATTTTAACCTTTATTAATATAGAAATTTATTACTATGATGTACAAAACATACCAAAGAAAGCTGACTACCAAAAGATTGACTATTTATTTGATTTCCTTAAAAACAATCAGGAAGAATATGCCTTCTAGCTTTCTGCCCCCATGGATATTAGTCCCGGGGAATGTAGCTCACATAATATCTTAAAAGTGATCTATCCAACATCATTAACTTTTGTTGTTCTTTATAAAATTATATGTAACAGATCTCATAGGAAATTATGTGTTACAATTCTAGGGAGTGAAAGCCAGAAGTTAAGTGCAATATATGCAATCTAACTTAAACAAGACAATGGTTTGGGAATTTTTTTCTCTAAAAGGTTCCTAAATATATTTCACAGGAATATCCCCTAGTCCCACTGTTCAGCCCTTCCCATTGTCTGACCCATGGGGTAGTAACAAAGGCAAAGACATTTAACATATTGCCCTAATCTCAAAACATTTTAAGAATTTATTTTAACAGATGTAATCTGTCTCTTTAGCAATTAAGGTCTCTGCTTGGAGCAGAAAAGATGTTGGATGCCTACAGGATCCACTGAGTCCACAGTACCAAACACCATCAGCATGTGTCTGCTTACAAGAGAAGCGATGGAGATGATAGAGAAGGACAGAACAAAACAGTTTCTTAATTCTGACCTGCATATTATTCCACAAAATACAGTAATGGCTCATGCCAAGGCCAGGTCTCATGAGTACAAAGTACAAATGCACTGAAAGATTAATAAATCATTTGTGTATCATCTATTTCTCAAGTTCTTTAAAGAACAGTGAAAAATAGTGAGAAGTTTATCTACTGTAACATGTAAGGATTTTTGTATTCTTCTTGTATGATGTATAAAAAATTCCTGTCTTTGTTTAGCTTCCCCTGGTTCTCTGATAGAAGCCATGATTGTCCACCTGTGAAATTATAACTTTCTCACTACAGTCATTTGTGTCAGAAAATAAGGACTATCTATGCCTAGTCAAGATTAAGAAACTGAACTTGACTGGGAAGATGATGCTGTTGTCATTCACATCTCACTTCCTGGAGGAAATGAAAACAAACAATACACAGAATATACAGAAGTTCACTGCATTTCTGATAGAGGCCTTGCCAGTGTAAAGAATACCCCAGTCTGTCAATACACATCTACCTAAAGAACGCAGTGTTTAACCCAGCAGTGACAGGGGAAATACTACAATCTTTTTTCAGGTTCTGTCTTCAGAGGAAAATATTTCCCTAGTGTATTAGACTTAGGTTTACCTTTAGGATGCTGTTTGGAAGCTTTTTAATTTATACAGCATAAAAATATCTTTGCAGTAAGTCAAGAAAATTTTCAATATAGTTCAAGAAAAATAGGCATAAAGTATAAAATCAGTCTGAACCTTCAAATGCGGTAATATAACAATTATAAATCTTAATTAAAAAAAAGAATTCCCTACTTTTTACCTTGTTCTGTATTTTTAGCTGCAAAATGGCACAATAACAAAGCTTTTATTTTCAAATAAATATCTGACATGTTTTAGGTAATATTTAATTTTGGAAATGTCCAGAAAAAGTATTAATTTAATTTTCCTGAGCTTTTCCCTAGTTCTGATAGCCTATCAAACAGCTAATGCAAAATCTGTTGAATATAAAGAGATTTTGTTTCCCTTGGTTACAACACTTCCATGAGATCACTGATATCTCTCTAACTTATTTTCGGTGAAGATATATAGGTTCTCCTTGTTTTGCTTCAGCAGACTCCTATATCAGTCACTGAAAGATGAAAACAAAATAGAGAAAACTATTTGATTTTTCTTATGCTAGGCAGATTGGAAAGCAAATTGATCTTTGATTTTTAGGTGGAAACAAATTATGTATTTAACGTAACATTAAAGGTTCCCTGGGAAGTCGCACACTTTTTTATAACATCTGGTTCTTGTCTATGCAAACACAAATGTGCTTTAACTGGGTTGGAAACAATCCTGTTACAGCTGACCTTCCTCCAGTATTGTGTATAGCATGTATCATCTACAGATTTTAAATTCTTTGAGGCACAGAGTTATCATCACTTTATTTGTAAAGTCCTTTAGATTTCTCTGTGAAGGATCCCTTCTTTTTTTATACAGTTTTCACCTATGACCACAAGATTTACCTGACTTTTGAAAATCCAGGAATTTCTCTCTTTTTATTTTTGAGAAGTATAATTTCTGCCTTGCAACTCACAGCACTTTTTAAAGACACATAGCTTTTAATTAAAACATACTTTCACATATTAATTTTCATGTACAAGTGATCTTACTGATGTTATTGGCACAACTCAGCTACACTTAGTTAAGATCATATGTCCACATATTTGGAGACTTATAAAATAGATTTTGCTTCCCTCCAAGTCATCGTATTGAATCACAGAAAGTCCCAGAAGGGACCTCAAGAGATCTTCTAGTCATTTCCTGCCCCAGGGGCTTCATTCTTGGTTGCTTTTCTATAAGTATCTTCATGTACATTCATTCCCCTTAAGTTGTGTCTTATGTCTTATTCAATCTTTCCTACATGTATATGTCAAAACCCTCCTTAAGGTAAATGTACAGTTACCTATAGAAGAGATAGGTATAGATTTATAGGAGTGAGGAAGGAGGAATGGTTACAGCTTCAGGATTATGTGAAGATGGGAAATTTCTGATTTATTTTCAGCTTGTAGTACTTTTAGAAGGGTGTGAATTATTTTAAGACTAGGATGAAAGACATAAAACCATGGTATTTACTGGCACCTCAATGAACATTGATAAGCAGTTATGGCAGAGGAGTGGCATGGATAGAATAAATATCTCAGTAATATTTCCTACATAACCCAACAAAAAGCTGGAAACCTTTGAGATACATGGATATCTCAGTAGACTAACTATATGACGTCCTTACTGCTTTGTAGGAGATGTTTTCCACAGACCGTGCCTTCAATTTTAATGACCATTCTGAATTCTAATACTTCTGCCTAGGGCCTGCAGCCTTAACCAGTTTGGGGCAACGGTTAATTTAGTCTATATGCTCTCTATTCCATCATTGCAGATGTTAATGAAAATATTGAATACTGCTGAATATTGAAAATACTGCATAGGACAACTCTTGAAAGAGCTCCATAGCCATTCATAACTACTCCTTCGAGGGATTCTCATTTATTTTTGCACATATTTTTAGAACTTCTTATTCTCTCCTGAACAGTCTCATTTTGACAAATGAGATAAACCACCAATGCCATGATTCTACCAATAACTTAAAGGAAACCCATCCACTTCCAGCAGAATCTTGCAGTATTTGGTTGAAGAAGTTTTATTATTGATTTTATTAGTATTCCTGTTCATGGACAATGTTTTGGATCAGTAAGCCTTGTAAAAGACACTCTTCAGAAAGAGGTCAATAGTTGAACATGATGTAGAGAGTCACCAGTGTAAAAAAAACTCCAACTACAGATTTAGTAGGCTGACAGGCAGAGAGAAGGGTAAATGAAGCTGTAGGAAGTTTTTGCAGGTGATTACTACTGAATGAAGCATTCAGGTACAGGTTATGTTATAATTCTGGCAGTTCACAAAGTAATGGTAATATCTACTATTGTAACTATTCTTTTGTCACATTCAGAAAGAAAATATGCCAAAGCGATCGATTCTAGTCTTTCTTCTCAATATAAAATAATTTGGAAATTCTAAGCTAAAACTCCACCTTTTTATTAAAATAAATGAACTCATAAGCAACGAGATTAGGACTAGACACTATCAGAAGTACTTACTCAAAACCAGATTCCTAATTGCATTTATAGCATTGATTTCCATGAAGTTAAGACAAGTGTTTTACCTTTGCAGAGGAAAGGCTAATGACATGTTGATCTTTTTCATTTGTCACAATTTCCACAACACTATGTCGATGTCCTGATAGCTTCCCTGTGGGCCTGCTATTAATAGCAGGATGCCACAGACGAAGCAGTTTGTCATGGCCTGAAAGGAAAAAAAATAATATATATAGTCAGAAAGACTGAATAGTCACTGGTATTACAAATAAGCTTCATAATGGAGAGCTTAGTGTTGATAAGTGTCTTTCACCACGTAGGCAACTCCCACTTAAGAATGTGAATTTTTCATTCCAAGGGCTGGATTCCAGCTTATGCCCAAACTTGTATTAAACCCACATAACTGATTTGCCTTTCAAAGCCTTTTTATTCTGCTAGAGGAATGTCAGGGACACTGGATGTGACTACATGTGCTAGTCCCATAGGAGCAGAAATAGAACTGGGGCTCAGATTTTTTTTCCCTTCAAAGATCTAATTTACAAAAATGTCAGAACAATACTCGTCTCTATTTAGCCAGGAAATGAAGGGATGACCACCTCTATGGAAGAGGGTGGACATGAAGAACAGGAAGGGGAACAGATGTGGAAGTTGAAGGCAGATAGGAGACAAACTGCTGATGAGTGATTTTGTGTCTTGAATTAAATGGGAATTAGGTGCTTCATATTTATTTGTATGTTCAAACATTAAATTTACCTATAATTTAGGGAATAATCCTTGATTACATTATAGATGAATCTTTTGGTACTATTTTCATAATAGTTTTCATAAATATATCAAAACACAAAGATATGTGTTAGTAAACACATCCTGGGTTTACATACTGATGTAAACACAACTGTACCTAGTGCTCTGCAATAATTCATATTTTTCACATGAGTTTCAAGAGAACATGAGCCCAGTTTAAATTTGACATTAATTAATTTATATTTTAACTTTCAATTCCTGGCAAATATTGCAATTGTATGAATTGTATGCAATTAGCTGAACACTCTATTTTGACACATAATAAATGAAACAGCCACATTTTATCTAGACTTCACTTTGACTTTTAGTTTTCTCTCAGCTTAAAGTGAAGTGCGAAAAGCCAAAAAATCATAGACTAGGAAGTACGTTCCCCAAAAGAATATTTACAAAACCTCAAGATTGTGAAGCTCAGCTCAGTTTTGTTAACAAAGAGAAGAGTTAAAGGTCAGCTCTTGCAGTCTGCTCTCCAGGGATCTTCCTTAAGCTTTTTCAACCTACCGTCACTAGTTAGTCCCTCCCTCTCTCTCTACAGAGATCTATTCCTTTCCTTCTTAACAGAGATCTATTCCTTTGCTTCTTAATACAGCAATATGTGATTCATCTAGGAGAACCCCATCTCCCTTTTTCTCCATTAAACATTATTGTCCTCTCAAATTGATTGCACTGTTTACGTCGCCTCTCTCTAAATGAGAGAGGCTCGTTGGAGAAAAATGATCTACTCTTAAAATAGCTACAATAGAAAGTCATTTTGGTTTATGCCAGATCATTTCACAAGTGTAACTGAGAATGCAACCATACAAAGAGCTGTACTGGCACGGTGGAGGAATAACTTTGGCATGGGAAACAGGAGCCATTGATAACTAGCTGACCAGCAGTAACTTCAATGGGAACCGGTTTCTTTTCAGCAACACTTTCAGGCGAAACTATTCTAGATTAGGTGTCTATGCTGCAAGCATGGCAGGAAGTAGGCTATACATGTTCTTTACTTAAGATATTAGCAGGAAGAACAAATGTCATTAGTAAAGAAAACCTTGGCCTACATTAAAAATGCTGTTTGCTTCTCATGTGAAATAGTGGATTAGTTTTTGTTCCTTTTACTGATGTTGGGATAATGGTGGATTTGGTTACAGTAGACATGTTCTCTCCCCTCTTTCTGGACTAATGTCAGATTGGCCCTAACATTTGCCGGTTCACTGCTTCACTGGAACATTTGCTGGAACATTTATTTTCTCTGTGCTCCAAATATGCCTCCAGGATTCAGAACCATGACACAGAAGGCATTGGTACAAAGCAAATTCAAGAAAAGCTTGAAGAAGACGAATTATCTGTCTACATATCAGAAAACAATTTTTTAAGCTTCTATGAAATCAGTGATTTGGATCATAATGAGCTCAGTTCGGTGTTCTCCATTCCAAGATAAATAATTATGAAAGCATGTGTTTAGGGTTTTTTGGTTTTTTGGTTTTTTTTGTTTTTTTTTTTTAAAAAGTCAGATTCTATGACAACAGCTCTATTCTAGCTAGATGTTATTGATTCCAATGCATTCTTTGAACATCTGATCCTTTGTCAGACTGTCTCCCTTGCTCACATGGCTTTGCAATTTGTGTGGTGTTACAAGTCTGCTGAGATGTCTGTATTTCAGTGGTGTTGAAACCCCCTTGAGAACAATTGCATTTTTGAATGGATAAAATGCTAGGCTTAGCTTGGCATCCTCTGATAAACTAGAAAAGAAAAATATAACTCCTGTTTTCTTTCTATGCTGTTCCTCGCACACAGAAGGACCTCCTACTCTTTAAAACTTGTCATTCCTTCAAGCCTGCCTTTTAAATAATCTTGGGTTATAATGTCTGCAAAAACTCTTTAGAACAGTTAGACATCTGGTAAACTAACAGAAGTTCATATGTTTTTCATATTGAGCAATCTCTCTTTGTTTTGTGCTGCTTTGTCTGTCTTCATATGTTCTTCTTAAATTTAGACTGCATCATAGAAAAGAGTCTGCTTATGCTTGTGAGAGCTAGTATTAGTGGAGCCCTGGGATATAATTTCTATAACTAGGATTCCTGGAAATTCCTGAAAATATCAATACCAATGTATAGTGCCTGGGGCGTGGAGGGGGGAGAGGGGGCGGAAAGAAAAAAAAAAAAAGTTACCAGTTACTTCACTTGTGCCAGGAATACACAAAGGATACTGAGCAAGCACAGAGGACTTCCTTTTATCAGTCTTAAGCTACTACTGCTAGATTTAGAAATTAATAATAGTTTTTCTTCTACTTTAGTGCTCACAGGAGAACAATAGCTGGATTTGAAGAAATAATAGGGTTAGAAGTTGATGTATCACATAATTTAAAACTGATCATCTCCAGCTTTTATATGCATACATAATTTGATTTTAACTGTAGCTATTCCCTGAGGTGATGATTAAGACATAGTTGGAATCGAAATGGATACAGAATAAGAGGAAAATCATATCACTTCAGCATTCAATATAATATTAATGCAAAATGCTACACAGAAAAGTTATTTTAAATTACTATGGGGTCCATATTTTAGGCCACTGTCAGGCTTTTATCACTTTATTGGTTGAAGAAGTCTAGCTTTTAGCATGAAAAGTGAACTCTGTACCAGGTTTGCTTGTATCTTTCTTACTGATTATTATAAATGTCAAATATCTGGAAGACAAAATTTGGTTGTGTCACAGTACTGGCAAACTTGTGAGCATATTCAAATACAACAAATAAATTATGGAAGAGTATGGATGTTAAACATGAGTTTTTTAATAGTCACTTGCTAGTGCAATAATACATTGTGGTATTTTGCATACCATTTGTGCTATGAACCTGGCTAAATAACAATACATTGGGGCTTAGTAAAGTGGTTAGCAGATTTATCCCCACTGAATACTTCAGAAGCTAGCCTGCAATCAAAGGTTGCATTTTTTTTTCCTTTTAATTGCTGAATGTGACACGTAAATATAATGTTTTACAAATGTTTGCACATCACCAAGAAATCTATATATTATGATTCCTGAATTATTTAACTGCTCTGGTCTTTGATTTTTAGGGCATGTTACAGGTAAAATTGCAGGCTTGCTAATCAACAAGACTAGCTTATGTTCACTTGAAACAGTTTAGTTCTGTCATTAACCTGATCATCAACATGCATTTCTCAGCCAGACAAAGAGAGAGGGATGGCTTTTAAGATACAGAGGCAAACATAGTGTGCTCTAGTCTGACTGACTGCTGTGCCACTGTGAGCAGTACATTTTATTAATACAGAACTGAACTCTAAAGCTCAACTTCTGAATACTTTAGTAGATGGATATCTCAAGCGCTGAAGGATTATTCTTAATTCTGGGTGCAGCTTCATAGTAGTCCCTGGCTGATCTAAACTTCACAGTGAAATTGAGAGACATGATACCACCCTGTCATTGTCTTTGGCCATGCATTCCCACTCTCTTCTGTGACTCTTAGTAATCCATCTCAGGAAAAATTTCCTTTTCTGTTCAAAGGAAGCATCAGGGCTAAGCATTGGGAATGAGGATGAGAGGCAGGAGGATGACTTTTAATATCATGATGAAGGCCAGTGGGTGAATAAGCAAGACAGGATTCCAAATCAAGGGTATGTAAATGTTATGATCCAGGAATACATTGGAAGATTGTTAGAAGTAAGTATAATTCCTATGCTTTTTCAAAATCTTCATTACAGAGTGCTTGAACACAATATTATCAACTTTTTGTCATGTTGCCCTTGCTTTCTGTACTTCTGTGCAGTGAAAGTAAAGACAAATTAAAAAGCAGTGTTGAGAAAGCTCATGACCTTCTGAAATATTCTGATTATCTGGCTGTTTAGATGGAATAGGAAGGCCTGCATTCCAAGTGTAGCCCCCAACCATCACAGACAAATATGTAATCTATCCTTTTCAAAAATTTCAAAAAGCTCCATTTTAAACTAGGGAGGATATTTCTTTCTGCAACTGCCACTATTCAGAAGACTCCTCCAAACATCACTGCTCTAATTTTTCTCTAATATTTGTTCTCCTGGTATTTTTATAGATAGCATTGGTATTACTTGTTAATTGTCATTTTGCTAGGATATAAAAAATACACTTTTTAGTCTTGTGCGTGATAGATTTAGTCTCTATGTGATAGGTTTCCCCTACTCTTTTTCCATATTCAACAAATCTTTCTTAAACATGGCTCATATCAACCATATGTGGATTCCACTACAACATGAGGTTTTGCTTGTGTCAAATTCAGAGAAGTTAATGCTTTGTTACCTGTAAAACAGATATTTCAACTAACACAGGTACCTAGGGCAAGTATTGCTGCATGATTGCCCTATTCCTCTACTCTGCCATAGGTGTTTATTGCTGGCCACTGTTGGTAAAGAGATAGTGGGCAGACCTTTGGCCTAGCATAGCTATTCTTATTTTCTTAGGAAGTTGACACAGATTTTTCTCCTCTTCTGCTATTTCTATAAGAAGAATCTTCAGTGTTTAATAGCAATTTTATTTAGTTCCTGTGCAATTGACCTGTCCTATTCAGACACTTCACCCTGTTTTTATACTAAAATCCTCCAGTTCTACCTGTAGGAAATAGTAACCATATTCTGTTTTATAGGGCCTCTCTACTTTATGTCATCAGTAAATTTCTCCAGACTACTTCTTATGACAAGGTAGTCAATGTAAATAAGATCTCCCCCAAGGCTGAACTTCAGAATTATCACTAATAACTTTCCTATAGCCCTATTGCTTTCCCTTTAAATCTTGTGTCTACAAAATCAATAGAACTGTCTGATACTTATTTTGATATCTGTTGCAGATTTCCCTTTGGTAAACTGCCACAATGCAACTTGAATTGCATTATTTCCCATGTCTAGGTCTTTTTTTTTTTCCCCCAATTTATTGTACAGTATTGCATATAATCAAGGCTGGACAGCAGAGCCTTGGCCATTTTTTCCTTATTAAATATAGACATAAGAATTGCTATATGTGATACATTGTTCAAAACAATTTTTAACAGAGTTTTAAGCAAGACTCTCATGCTGAAGACTTGGAGATAGGCAGCATTGATGCCATTGATGTCACTGCACGGCACCACCCTGTCAGACACAATGTACAAACAAGACTGCTGCCATACTCCAGCCACATTTCTGCAGCACAAAATATGCTCACTGCAATAGAAAGGCACACAAAATTATTGGATAACAGGGAAGAAATGGATGTAAGTGTGCTATTTCTGCAGTCTGCTTTGGGAGAAAGAACAAACAGTAAAGTTTTGGGGAAATGTGATCAGAAAGAAGAGCAACGGAAAGTATTAAGTTGGGACAATGTGATTGCTTAAGACAGGAAAGGAAGGCCAAAGAGTACTAGGAAGGGATGGGAGCCCTGCTGATACTGCAAGGAGTAATGTGTATAACCTGGCTAGGACAGTCGCCACTGTGACTTGGAGAGGTGCCTTTAGAGTAGTTCAACATACTGTTTCTCCTGCTTTATTATATAAATAACATCATACTTAAATCAAATCCAGACTGAGCCCTTGATAGATTCCTGTCAGGAACTGTATTTTTTCAGACTCCCAACAATTAAAAGTAAGACCTGTGTTTACTATCATTTAAGACAGAAGCCATTATTTAAATTCTGAAGATACTAAATCAGCTTTATTTGCTGTTATTTAACTGGGAAAAATTCACAACAGAGCAATCTCTTGGAAAAAAACCCAATACTTACCCCCAGTGACAATGACTTTTGCTTTTCCACAGTATGTGAAGGCATTGACCCCTCTAGGGACAGAAAATTCCTTTACAGGTCTGAAATCATTAATAAAACAGTTAATCAGGTAAGAAATATTAGGAAAATACAGTCTACAGTCATTCTGATTTTCTGTAGTATATAGAATGGCTGTTTGCATAATTTATACAATCTCTTGTTAAAAGCCAATTGATTTATAACACTGAGTTAAGTACTAGCACCAATGAAATGGGAACAGGGGACACTTTCCACTAAAGTAATAAATCTCTGAACACCTGAATCTTTTATCACTCGTGCTCCAAACAGAATCCCAAAATGGTAGCTGTTGCCAAAGTAAGCCTTCACACATGTGTGCATGCTTAAAGCAGTTCACCACTGAGGAAAAGTATCAAACCAACTGCCTTTGCCTGTTTCAGACATGGAGGTCTATTGTGGCCTCCGCATAAAGGAAGTGCAGTTGCTTTTCTGCTGCTTACATATAATGTATTGTATAATGCATAGTCTCTATTTTATCTATTTTGTGTTGTGTAATAACATGAAGAGACTGCAAGTTTCTGAAACTCAACTGAATTATTCTGTTGCATTCACTGCAAAACCACTGGAATCCAAAAAAACCAACACAGACTGAGACTGACTCAGTGTCCCTTCTAAACCCATCCTTTGAGCAACTTCTGCTTGTCTCTCCATGTTTCATACATTGCTACTAATACGTAAATATTTTCTTGATTTTTGGAGTCAGCAATAGCATGGCTAACACCCATCTCTCCCAGGAAACAGTAACTGTCAGTGTAATTAAGCTATACAGAATTAAATGAGCACGCATTTAATTTTTTTCTTTGAAATCCAGACAAGTAGGTAGTTCATTTATTCTCGGCTAGAGACTAACCATGGATTTTGAAAACCATAACTGGAGATGACAGTAAATTTGGCAAAAGACTCTGGAAACTTTGAGGATTAATGAAAGGGCTTGTTCTTTCTAGGCAGCTGTAAATAAAAGGCTGTTCACTCCCTATTATTTAGAGAAGAGCAAAGCTTTCTTTCCAGAGCTCTAACAGAGGCGTCTTAATTCTCTTGATGGTATAAAATAGCAAGTAATTGATTTAAATGTGTGATTGGCAGATCTCCTCAGGATTTCTCATCTTTTGCCTTTATTTCTTAAATCTGATACTTTTATATTACTGTCCATTGGCTCTTTAATGAATGGTCTTGATACTCTTCTAATATCAGTGTGAATACAAGGTTTCAGCAGTGTGAAGCCCTTCCCAAGTCATGGCCTTGCAAAGGAAGTACCCAGTGATCCCATGCACACCTCCCTTTTTTTTAGATACTTTACAAGAAAAGATTATAACTGCACATCGGCCATTATCCACAAAGAAACTTAACAGTCAGATAGGAGACAAGATACATTGCATCTCTTTTCAAGCACAGTAACAATTGCTTGCTGCAAAGTTAATTGGGGAAATTTATTTTGCTAGAACCAGTAAATCATATATTTCAAGCATAATTACTTATGGAATAGACATTTCAAAGTGATTTGATCCATAGTTATTTTTAGGGCTATTAATTTCATTTTAACAGCTGTGTAATTTTTCAGTTGTCTAAATATAATTTCATTTAGCTGCTGCATGAATCTGCTTAGACAAATGTATTTATTGGAACTGAAGAAACAATTACAATCAGTTTGAAATGAAAAAGACCTACCAAGATATTTGCAGTTAATATTCTGTATAACAAACAGTGTATGGTGGTAGCACATATTCTTTTGACTATACTTTTGCCTCTGCAGTCTTTTTTTTCTTTGTCCTCAAATTAATTATATTTTTCCAAAACTCCCAGCAAATAGCTGGATTTATCAGCTTTTCTCCTGACACAGTATGTAACCTTGGACAAGCTGTAAGTATTTCATACTTCACTTTTCCCATCCATAACAGACATGTAATACTCATAAAACCTAAAGTTATTGGATTGATGCAAGAATTTCTATGTGAATATTTATGGCTTCTGTTATACAAGAGATAAAACAGATTATCATAATTGCTGCTACTAGCCTTAAAAATCTACTAATCTCTTGATGTACCTCACAGAGGAATTGTGAAGCTGATCTAACATTCACAATGCTTTGAGATATTTGAATTAAAATTTCTATCTATATGGTATTTATAGTTCCTTTTTACATCAGATTGTGTTTGTATTATTTATTTTTTAATTGTGCTATAAACTGTTCTAAAATTGCAGACTGGTAAGGCTTGGAATCAGCTATAGCACTGATGGGCCATACAAATGATATGGAACAAATAAGGAGGCCACAACCCCTTTCCTGCTGCATGGTAAATCCATTTCACAGCCCTCAGAATAAATTGCTTTCTTGGTTTAAGCTTATGTAGCTGACACTTGTGACACTGAAACTGTAAATGAAACTTAGCTGAATATATATTTGTGTAGATATAGATTTTAAATGAATGGATACATCCTATACGTATAACAAAGCAATCAATTTTCTAACTAAAATTTGCCTGCTGAGGAGAAGTTGGAGCAGACAACACTGCCAACGTAATTTATTTTTAAGGGCTGTGAGGAATAAACATATATGGACAGTCCTCTCCTACATCAAAAGCTAACAAACAAAAATATTCAAGTATTTAAGTAGTTGTATTTTTGTTTGTATTAACAATACTTATAGAAAAGACTCCTTCAATATGACAGAAGGGCATCTTGCAAGGCACTGATCTCATGCAGAGTTATACAGCAAAATGTCTATTTTTTCAGAAGATGTCATATACTTACAAATTGTCCTCTAGTCGTTTTATGTTATCCAAAACAAATGAATGAATGCTGTCTGAGGAGCAGGATCCAAAACAATTTAGGTCAGAAATATACTTAACTTTCACAACCCAGTCATCATGTAGCTTGCGCTTAACACTAGGAATATAAATTGAGATGTCGTTAGAATCATAGAATCACAGAATGGTTTGG